AGCCAAGCCGACCCCGCTGCCGCTGCGCGCCGGCGTTTCCTCGCAGCCGCCAAAGCCGCGGGCGGCAATTCGGCACGGCCACGAAGTCGGTCAGAGTCCTCGTGCTGCTGCAATAATAATAATGCAAGACATTATTTTCTTCCTGCCAGCTAAATCCCTACGCTTTGTAATTAATACAGAAAAAGGGCAGATCTAGGAAAATCTGTTCCCCTGACACACACTCTTCTACCGACGGGGGATCCGAAAGAGAGCAGAACATGCTGTCGGGTGTTGGGTAAAGCTCTTGATTCCTGACCTGCAGCAGTAAATCTGGTTTTGCGTTTGGATTTATTTCCTCTGAAGCCTACCGAGCCCTTGCAGGTCTTCCCTGGGTTTCTTTTTGTACGTGCTGCTAACCGAGTTGGCAAGGCTCCCCTGGTAATGAGAGATTGCACCTCAGCGGGCTTATCGGAAATGAAAATTGTTAATAAATAAAGCCTGGGTCTTTAAACTCATGTTAACATTAATCAGATTAATATAAAAGGGAAAAAGTCTGGAAAGCGTTTCAGGCAGGGCTTGTTCTCCCTCCCACTGGCTTCCTCCGTGGCTGGAGGAGGCTGTGCCGCAGGAGGCAACTGGCTCCGCCGGCGGGGTGGCCGGGCTGAGGCGGATCCTGGGGTGAAAGTCAGGTTTTCAGGGAAAACGGTACAAACTGGAAATGGGGTCTCGGATCAGCAGGCAGCAGGGCAGCCCCAAAACCTTCCGTGCACCTACAACGTGGCTGGGTTTGTCCTCTTCTCATCTGGTCTCCCCTCCTTGGCCAGGACAAGGGGTTGTTGCTGCTCCCACCTGACCCAACCGTTTGAACTTCGGTTAGTGCCGTGACATGAAGGGATTTACTCTCCACAACATATTTTCATTTTGTGCAGTGTAGCATTCAACATTTCTTATTAGCCATATATATACACACACATATATATACACACACGTGCATCGCTTCTGGTCCCTTCCCTTGCTGGGAAATCTTAGCAGGCAGCCAGTAATCTTCTTTGCCCTTGTCTGGACTTCTTTTATTTTCTTTCTGCTATTTTCATTCCGAGTGGGATCGGAACTGACTGCAATATTGAAAATCGGAAGAGTCATCTCCAGGAGGAGTCGTAATGAGGTGGTGGCCACCAGCAGAGCTTGCCCCCGCGCATTGGGGTCCATCTCGGCGCATGCTGTGGTGCTCACTGCCTCGGGGGCTCAGGGACGTGCAAACCTCTGGCTTGATGGTGTGGTTTACCCCCGGTAGCACCAACGACCCGACATCCATACGGATGATGCAGAAGGGTTGGTTGTGGCACCTTCGTAAACTCGGACAAGCAGATATTTTTTCGTCTATGCATCTACTAAGTGTCGACACCGAGTATTGCTCTGAAGGAGCATGTTTGGGATCTACGGCTTCTAACACTGATGTACGGGGCTGGACTGTCAGCCGTGGGCCCCAAATGCCCTGACACAACACGTGCCGGTGCTCAGCGATGGCCTCAGGTGTGCGGCAGCAAGGCTTGGCCCCAGAAACGCCTGGGACGTTGCAACGCCCTGGCTTCTCCCAGTCATTTGGCCCAAAATTGCTCATTTCAGAACTTTTCTTTCATTCAGACCCCTGGTAGGTGCCAGACACCACTGGTCCCTGAGGCCGGCAGGGCCACCTCCCGGATGCACAGACCTGTGTGCAAACGCAATTTAGCACCTCTCTGTAATCTCCGTGGCAGGACGACGGCAGGAGCACCCGGGGTGCGTGGTGCTCATGTCTTGCTCTTGGCCTGTTTGGAAGGGGGCACGAGGAAGACTTTACTGGTTGTGTAGAATAATTTTAAATCAGTCGATAGGGGTTCATTGTACAGTGATTTGACAGTATGATAAATAAATAAATACCTTTTTTCATTACAAAGTGATGTTCTCCTAACTCAGATCCAGGAGATGGTCCACTCGGACGCCACGTCCTATGAGTCCAACCGCCAAGTGCCCCTGATCAATCGCCCCGGGATGTTAGCCGGCCCCATGAGCGCTCTCAGCCAGTCGCAGCTGATTTCTCAGATGGGGATGCGGAGCAGTGTTACCCACGGTTCCCCATCGCCTCCGGGAAGTAAGTCTGCTACACCATCTCCCTCCAGTTCTACTCAGGAAGAGGAGACAGAGTCACATTATAAGGTACGTGCAGTCACGGCTGTTTTAACAGACAGTGAGAGAATGGCAGATGATATTTTGCAGTGAGGGATAAATTGCAGTAAAGAAGAGCACAGGTTTTTGATTATATTTTGTTTTTTAAATATGTATATATAGTAGGAGACCTTCCCGAGGACAAGGAGATTGCTTCCAACCCGGGGTGAGGTACAGCACGGCAGGCTAGCACACATGCTCGGGTAGGGCACGCAGCAAGTTTGGCAATGAGAGTTGGGCTTTTCTCTCAAGTGTTTACTGGGTCCATCAGGCTGCAGAGTTTCCACCGATGAGGGTTTTGATGAGCAAAGCAGGTTCAGGGCAAAGGTTCTGCAAATGCTTGGGGGCAAAATTAGATTTATGGTGGCTGGTAGAGGAGACTAAAACAGAGAAGGAAAATAAACGCAGGATGGGATTTAACTGAGCTCACCGGACATGGCTTTCTAAGATTAAAAAAAAAAAAAAAAAGAACAGAAATCAAAAGAGGAAGAGTCTTCTGCCTTTTAGTTTGCCTGGGCAGTGTTTTAGGTGGCCAGCAGTGTCTTAATTGATACAGAGTCTGCCTCCACCGCCAACACAACTGCTGTGTTGGCATCAGGAAATCCAAGACTTCCCTAGAAGTGTTGGGACATCTTGGTCAGCACCCATCTTTCTCAGAGTGCACCAGCAAAGCAAGTTCTGCAAGCTGTGTTCTGTGAGTCTTCTGTCTGTTATTTACTGAGGACAAACTGTGGCAATCGCAGGTTGCTGCCTCGACACCCGGTGGGTCTCCATGCCTGCAGGTCCATCACAGGGCTCCCTGGGGGACTTTGATTAAAGCCTTTCATGGAAAACCTTCTCCTGGAAGGTGCTGATCCAAGGATGACACCAGAAGCATTGGTATTGTAACCTTGTCCCACAAAAAGAGACAGTTTTGACAGGATTTGAACATATAACCAGAGCAGAAAATAGTGCAGAGACTGGAAAACCAGGAAAATGCTAGGACTGACCAAAAACCTTTCACTTTCCATGGAAATCCAGGCAAATGTATTCCCATTATTTGTGTGGTTTTTCATCCGTTGGCAGCTTTCACTTCAGATTGGGACATTTCAAAGCAGAGCGCACACAAAAACTGAGCTTCAGGGGAGTAAAACTGTAAAAAGAAGGGATACAGGTGACTGAAAATAGCTGGAGTTTTTCAAACTCCGCAATTCCACATTTGGGGGGACGCAGCGGGACGGGTTGTGCTGCTGGCCCCCATGGTCTGCCACCCCCCTGAGCCCGAGTCATCCTGCTCCAGGGAGTTACCTGGGAGCTGAAACCTTTCATGTCAGCGGAGTATGAGTTTATTCTCAGACCGGGTGCCCTCGCTCTGCTCCTTTCAGCATCACTCAGCTTTCCTCCCGGCCGGCCGGGGCCACGGGAGTCGCTGGGGAGGGCACGGCTTTGGGGCTGGATCTTCTGTTCTCATTGACCCAGCGGTGCCTGTGGGCGTAGGAAGAATTTGGAGACGTCCAATTATGACAGCTTGCAGAGATTGGAATTTTTTCTAATCCTAAATGCATGCCGCCTCATTTTTCTGCCCTGTAAACTACCCGGCACTACAGGTGGAACGGGAGCCAGGTATTTGATGGAGGAAGGAGACTACAAGTGTAAAGAAGGCAGCAGAGCCCGCGTGGCCTGCAGGTCTCTGCTTTCTCTATCTACATAGCTGTTGTATTCACCCGTTGGTCATTTTTCATATGGCTATTAAGGGCCTTTCTGCAACAAGTCATCAAAGCAATGCCTAACGAGCAGAAATTCATCTTGTGACCATGAAGGTCACACGTTAAAGAAATGGGTCTGATGCCAGCAGGCGATGCGGGTCCAGTAGCTCCTCAGAGCCAGGGAGCGTGTGGTTTTAGGAGGTCTCCCAGCCTCAGAGGCATTTACCTGCTCCATTGCTCCGGGGGTTGTACACATGCATGGGAGGGAGAGGTGCTTGTAGCCCCGATTCCAGCTGGATTAGCAATCTCTCTCCATAGTTATAAAAATGATGGTGTCCATGAGATTCCTGCCTTTCACGACTTCAACATCTAAGAAGGCATCAAGCCACCAACTTAGGGGATCGTAGCTGTCACCTGTGAATTGCCCCAGTCCACATCTGGTGTTGCACATGCCTTCTGCTGCCTCCCCAGAGCAGGTCCACGCAGAGGCTGGCGGCCACACACTTCATCCCGCCCCACAAGCCTTCACGGTGGGTTTGACCATGGCTCACCCCTGGAGGGACGCAGGTGCTCAGGGACAGTGAGGCGTGAACATGGCTTAGGTTGTTCCAGAAGCTTCTGCAGTCCAGGGCTGGGCTGTTGTCTCATCCTGCACTGCATCACACCTAGTAAACCGTGGGGAAAACCAGGCAAAGTCCTGATCTGCTCTCTCCTGGGACCTGCCAGCTCCAGGCAGTCTTGCAGGCAGCATCTGTTTTCCATAAATACCATTTTCTCTTTGGTGCTGCCTAAGCAGGACCGACTGTAAAGCCGTCCTCATGGCTGTGGTTGCTTTGCGCCTGCTCCTGGCTCCTTCACTTGGCCAGCGGCCGTGAGGAGAGCAGGTCCCCCCCGCGGCACTTACGTGAATCAAACAGGATTACAGTTAGTTAAAATACCATCTCACTTGCTAATGGGCTGAAGCCCTGTCATGCATTTTTTTTCTCCTAATAAGCTGGCCTTTCACCTCCAGGCCTCCCATTCAAGCCCAATTGGGCAATTTTAAATTAAATGCAGTTTTTTTGGTCTCTCTGCTCATTCACTAATGGTCACTGTCTGTTTGACAAATGTCACTGCGCTGGTACTGAACTTAATGACCAGTCAAGAGCTGCTGAGCGGAGAACAGGAGCGCTGCTGCCCTTTCCTCCCCGTGCCTGGCCTGTGCCAGCTGAAGTGAAGCCTCTTAAATCCCGGCACTTCCAAGCACGCGATCAAATCAGCAAATCCATCAGGAGAAAAGGCCTTTTGCTCCCACGCTCACCGGGAGGCACAGTTTTTGCAACGCCTTGGTGTTTAGGCCTATGTCAGTTGATTATTTTTGGTTTGTTTTTTTTTTTTAGACCTCTAAATGATAGACTGAGCAACTTTCTAAGTAATTTAATTAGCCCAAGCGCCTGGTGGAGCAGAGACTGCTGACAGCAGGTAGCGGCCGAGCATGGCGGGTCCGCAGGCGGAGGTGCTGGTGCCCTTGAGGATGCAGAGATCCAGACTGCAGCAGCCAGTTGGCAGCAAACGGTTTTATTCTCTGCCGTGTTTAATCTCTGGTGTATTTAGTTTTTCGTCCGCTATAAAAAATAGCGCTTCCCCGCGGTGTGAGCTTTCACGGACCACACTGCACCGGGAGCTGTGGTGTGTGTCCATGTACTTCCCAGGGGTCTTTTCCTTGGCACACCGTCACGCAGAGGTTTCTGCCGTCCCATATATTCAATGCGCTGCCCGGTGCATCCCAGTAGAAGCTCAACCATAGCATCTTCTTCTTGTGCTACCTTCACTGGAAGCATCCCTGTTTCCAGCTTGCCTGTTTACTTCCCAGCCTGGTGGCAGTGTCTCGTGCTGAGCAGCCACAAAATCCAGCCGCTGCTGTCTGTGTCCTGCTCCCCTTGGTTCAACCACCCACAGGGCACTGAGCATGGGTACAGCCAGACCTAGTCAGCCGGCTGCGCCCACACCGGTCGGGAAGTGAGCGGTGCGTGCAAAGCGTTTAATGCATCTGATGAAAATAGTTTAATTCCTGGATATTTTTCCTGGATAGGGGTACGTACCTGTTAAAAGGGTGGAACGCATTGTGGATGGCCCCGGTGTGATGGCTAATGCGATGCTGGTGCCGTTTGGTTGGTGCTCACGCCCCTCCTGCCTCGGGAGTGGGGAGGCTGAGCCGCTGGCACCCGTGTGGGTGAGACAAGTCAGAAGCAGCTTCCAAAGGGGGATTTTAGGGCTGGAAATCAGAAACCATGTGGAAGCCAAGTTTGGAAAAATTCATGGACTGCTAAAGGGATCTGGCTAGGAAGTAAGTGTGTTTGGAGAGGTCTCAGAAGGGGATCAAGGAGAGAGCAAGCTTGTGATGCCGGGGAGGAGGAGTGGGAAGGGGAGTGACCGAGGACGAGTGTCTGGAAAGCCCCAGCTTTGGAGCAGGGACGGGGCAGCAAGGGGCAAACCCAAGCTGTGAACTGGGCTGTGAGCAGGCACTCAAGCTGGGCTCAGCCCTCCCTCCCCCAGTTTGTGCAATGATCCTGGAGGCTCCTGGGGACCAAAGAGACCCCCAGGGCTGCTGCCCTCCTCGCCCATGCCCCCTCTCATCCCCTTTGCTAACAAGCTCTAGCAGGGACTCATACTGGACTACTCCCAGCTGACCGCTGAGGTTCATCTCTTGGTTTTGCAGGTTACTGGAGAGAAAAGACCATCAACAGACCTGGGTAAAAAGCCCAAAAGCCAAAAGAAGAAGAAAAAGAAGGATCCCAATGAGCCCCAGAAGCCTGTGTCAGCCTACGCCCTGTTTTTCAGAGACACACAAGCAGCCATCAAAGGGCAAAACCCCAACGCTACCTTCGGAGACGTATCGAAAATCGTTGCGTCAATGTGGGACAGTTTGGGCGAAGAACAAAAACAAGTGAGTTACTGATGTCTGCGTTTGTTTTTCTTTCTTTCAGCTGTTGAGATACATTTTTCCATGGTACGGAGCATCAGAGCCTCCCCAAGCCCGTTAGGAGCGTAGCCGGGGGCTTAAACAGGCTCCAGCGCATGCGCAGAAACGGAGGCTATTTTCAGGAGCGGTGCTGAAGTGCCCGCTGCCACTTGGAGCGATGCTCGCGTGGTTTACACGCCACGCTCCCAGCCCCCAGCCGGCGCGGTGGCGATGTGACGTGCCCCTTGGACAATTCCCGGGGGTGCCCTGCTCCCAGGTCTTCGCCACCCACGTGCCCCGAGGCAGGAGGCTCTGACCCCTCTGCAGGAGGATGCACTGTTTGCTTTGCCTCTGCCCCTTTCTTAGAAAAATCTCTGTTATTACATGGGGAAGAGCAAATTTTTATGACAATTAATCATTCTTGACGGTACTTCGCAAAAACATCAGTGGCCTTTCCGTGACGTGGGGTTTTTACAGCCTTGGACGGGAGATGGGTTTGTATTTACTTACAAGGAATGATGGCAAACCGGCTAACAGCTATTAACTCGCTACTCCCTGGCCTGAAATCTAACGTCAAGGCTTTAAAAGCTTAGGAAGGAGATGTCTGAAGTGGCCTCGCAGAGGAAACCTTCCTGCCCCAAAGCTGTCAAGCACTTTCAGTCTGCTTCACATGGAGACTTCTAGGTCCTGCTTTAATTGTTTTCTTGATGTTGAGTCAGTTACAAAAGCCTGTAATTGCTTGTTGCCTATTGAGAAAACCCCAGGGGACAGTTTCCGTAGCAAATACGTCTTTTCAGCAGGCAGAGCGAGAGCTGACACTGTATGTGATGTGTCTCTGAACCCAAACACGCTCAAACTGACAGTCCCCCATGAGCGGTAAGCGCTTCTCCTGGGCCTGGCTGCCCGCGTTGGCTCCGTCTCTTGCTGGCCGTCCACGGCCAGCATTTGAAGTAGCTACATTCGGGGAGGGAGGAGCAGGGGGGCAAAAAAGTCGTTTAAATGGAAGTCGTGCTAGGAGGTACCTTGCTTTCCACCCCGCACCAAGTCAGGAATGAGACCAAGGCACCTTCTGGGATGAAAGCCCCTTTGCTGATCCATCTGGAGTCTCCATACTGTGCAAAGTGTCGCTTTGATATTTCCATGATCCTCCCCTTTCTCCTCTTTGGACAGGTCGCTGGGGGATCATGCAGGAATTTCTCTTGCTGAGGAAGAGAGAAAGATCCCCTCCGTGTGCAGCAGGTTGGCCCCAGCCCTGCTGCCCGGGGAGCTGCAGGGCTGGGGCTGGCTTTGGGCTGTTGGTGCAAGGTGTGGGCGGTTCAGTGTGGAAAACTTCTGTGTCACCTCTGTCGCGTGCTTTTGTCACTCCCGGCATCTCGGTCTGCCTCTCGCTTTCTCCATCTGCTTACAAGTGTCCCTGTAGGTTGGGCGCTGAGCTCGGCTGCACGTGTGGTTTGTAGAACGGAAGCGCTGGTGCGACCCTGACTCAGCGCAGTGCAAATGCTCGGCTCTTAATTAACAGCAGGGATTAAACCAGTCCGTTTATCTTCCCTGCTAACTGTCCCTTCTTCTCTTTATGAGATAGTAGCAGCCTTGCCGTCTCTTTACACACGCTTTCCAAGTGGCTCCATTTCTCCCTCTGTAATTGATTTAATTAAGTCATTTGTTCCTTGTCTGAATGCTTAAATATTAACTTCCTGGCTTTGTCTCCAGCTGTATACTTTCCTCCCACGACAGCTACCTCCCCGCCCGGGACTCCGGCTGGGAGACACTATTTATCTTTGGCTCTGGGACTGTATGGCTGGTTTGTGCGATGGGGCACGTTCACTCTTGAAGTGTTCGGCTAGATGAGAGTTGATTTGGTCCCTGTTTGCTTTCCCCTGCCAGCATCCCCAGTCAAGTTTGTTTAGAATCATAAGGCCGTGCAATGGAAAGGAAAAAAGGAAAAAGGAAAAAAAAAAAAAAAAAGCATTAAGAAAATGTCTTTAATATGTGAAAACAAGTGCCTAGGCTGTCCTGCGGATCCTTTCTGCCGAGGACTGCAGGACATGCTGTGCATGTTCACGATGAAGGTGAGCAGCCCATGCCCAGCACTCCCTTGGCACGACTTGGGAGGGGACGGTGACCGGGCAGGACAGCAGTGCTGTGGTGCCATCACTGGCCAAAGTCCTGATGGGACCTGGGAGCCCAGACTGCCACGTGGCTGCACCGGACCGTGGTTTGGCTCGTCACCAGGCAGGAGCATGGACTGCTCTGGACTGGGGTGGGAAGGTGGAAAAGGGAAGTATTTAACCCCCTGCATCGCTCTAGTGGCAAGAGTGGTTTTCAGTATCTTCATATCCTCACTGCAGAAAGCCATGCAGAAGACAACCCCGGGAAAAAAACAACACAGCGATGACAAATTAGGCAGGCAAGAGCCAAGTCTGGATGTTCTTGCTCAGTTACGAGCAAGGTTTTCGTCAAAGAAAGCTTCCCCTCTTCCTGGCGTGAGAAAAGAGGGTGGGTTTGAGGCTGGGGGATCTGACTGGGGCTGGGCTGTGGTGCCAGACCTGGATCCCTCACAGCCCCCGAGGTGTTCATGGTGGGGCTGGGGCATCACGTCTCCAGAGGCCCGACGTGCAGACCCCAGCCCCGCACGCAGTGACTAAGCAGTCGTTTACATCACCGTTCGTTTCTGCTGCAGAGGAGGATTACAAAGCTGACTTTCCCCTTGCCAGCGGGCACGGTGTTTCCCCAGCCCTGGGTGTGTTTTGTTCCTGCCTTGTGGGACAACAGCAACGGGCAGGGAGCAACCGGGGAGGGTGTTCCAGGCAAGCTGGCCGAGAAACCCAACCTCGGCCAGGGCATTTTGGACTTGTGGTCCCCCGCCACGTGTCGGCAGCCCCCGGCACATGCCCCGCATCCGTCCGTCCCTCCCAGCCCCATCCTGCCCAGAAGGGTTAGGCAGAGCGTGGGGTGGCCGCCATGCCAGGGCCAAAGGAACGAGGAAAGCCCGATGCCGGTGGCTTGTAGCCACGCTGCCGGTGCATCACGGCCAGCGCCTCAGGCGAGGAAGGGTGGTCCTGTGTCCCCCCCAGGCAGAGAAACGAGACGCCACCTCGTCGCCAGGTAGCTCAGGCCGGCACGCGGAGGGTTAATCCTCTGCCATTTGTGCTGCTAATGATTATATGCACTGTAATATCAAAGCTGTAGCTATTTATTTGCCATTGAGCAGGTGCTGCTGCTCCCACAAAGCAAATTTGCTTTCTCCTCCTGATGAAACAAGCAAAATAAAGGTTGCTCACGTCCCATTTAAGATACGTTTTTTTTTCCCTGTGCACTAGCTGAAAGACAAACACCGACTGGGAACCAGAATGTATATTATGCAAGAAACCATATAATCTAGGAGCATCTTTGATTTGGCTGCTGCTGTCACAGACATGTATTTCAGAGAGAGGCTTTTTTTTTGCCCCCCCCCTTCTTTCGTTCTTACTGGTTTATCATTTGCGCCTTTGTCATTTTGTTCCTTCTTCTTCTCTTCTCAGCCTCTTCACAATGAATCTTCATTTTCCCTCTGACACACTTGTATCTAAATTTCCTTATTTCCTGCCTTTTTTTATTTATATCTGTTGCCTGGTGATTTGATCATGCTGTGGAATACAGGATTAGCAATCTCCGTGTCCTTGGGTACTGCTCAAGGACACCTGTTCGGCAAAGCGCGTTTTCTTCCCCATTTTAACCCCTTCCAGTGTGGCCGTGCATGCCTAACAGTAATAAGTAACAATACCTTTAAATATCTCCCGCGCTGCATTAGCGGGACGTTGTAATCTTCATTCTTCAACAGCTGGCGTGGCCCTTTCTAAGAAGCTTACATGGGAATCTGAAGAATGTGACTCAGGGGAAAAAAAAAATATTAATACGTACTCTTTGAACTTTGCAAATAGTTTAGCAGCTGTTCCTGTAGAGATAGCTTAGACCATGGTGGAGAGTGAAATGCTAATTCAGCCATTATCATCAGATGGGGTACCTGTCGTAGTAATCCGCCGGCAGCTCCGGGTCCCTGCTCGAGGCTCGCAGAATCCCATGTCTTGGTGTTATTTTTTTTCATTAGCAGGAATCGACCAGCATTCGCAGCGTGGTTTGGCAGGGCACCCTGATCTGACAGAAATTAGAAGACTTCGAGCACTAGGCTGGAGCAAACTCTGCTAATTCAGTAGGAAGGAGCACGGACGCAGTGCTCCCCGCCTGCTCCCAGCGCGCCCCACCCGGCAGGGCTGCAGCCCCCTCCCCTCCTTCCACGGGGCCACCAGCCCTGCCACGGGCAACCTCTGCTCAAGAGCGGGTGACACCTAGCCCTGGGTGGCTGTCCTCTGCTGGGGGGATTTCATTTGGATGATAAGCCTGGAAGCTCTCCAGAGCATACTGAGAAGTCACCGGTGGGATTTGCTCTCTGCCACGTTCTCTTACTCCCTCTCTGAGCACCTTCCCCTTGCCCACTGTATTTTGGGGGGAAAGGATGCTGGTTTGGAGCCTGGTGATGACGAAGCAAGGGGAACACTGCCAAGCTGGCAGTTGTAGATGTCTCTTGAACCTGCTTCTTTTCATTAGGAAATACAGCAACAGATTCAAAGTATTGGGTCGGTGTTTCCCTAGACCCTGGAAACCCGGAGTGCGGCGGCATTGAGAAGTTTCTGAGCGATCTGTTGAGTGAACCTCAGGCTAAACCAGGGCTTCCCATCCTGGGGAAGCAGAAGCCAAGTCGGACAAAATCAGCATTTCCAGTTGAGTTTATGAGTCTGGGAACTCGCTGGGGACACAGAGGTACTGGAGATGCGTTCTTGCTCGCAACGGCCCTGCCTCACTGGGACCAGTTCAGTAATGCTAAGAGACTCCATGGCCAGATGCGTATGTGATTTTCCCATACAAATGCACGGCCTGGAGAATAACACAGCGTTCACACTCCAGGGATAAATTACCCAGCAGAAAAGTTACTCGCTCAGCAGAAAAATAATAGATCACCCATCTAATCAGATCCATCTGCTCATCGAACCTGATACATCACCCGGTGACAGGACACTGCGTGTATCTGCGGTGGGACAGAGGCATCTCAGGCCAGCTGTAAAGCTGTGTCGCAGAGCCGTCACGGGACGAGATCCCACGGGAGCCACCTGCAGCGGGTGCTGCCTGGCAGCGTGGCCATCAAACTGCCCGCTCCCAGCATCGTGCAGACCTTCGTGGAACCACCACTGGTTGCAGTTTCCTGCTGCTGCCCCAAAGCCCTGGCAGTGAGGGGCTGGAAGGGTCCAGCCAGTTGCCCTGGCCTGGCCTGGAAGGAGGTTTCAGCATCTTCTGAGCGTCAAGGAAAGCCACGTACCGGAGAGGAATGAAAGCGCCAATCCCAAACAAGGTTTCGAGAGAGGTCTGGTGGAGACCAGGATAATGATAGGGAAGACGTGAAGGGTCACAAAAGTCTTAAAAGCAGCTCCAAGAGTGTGACTTCTCTTCTTGGAGAGCAAGATCAGAAGTGTGGAAGATTAATGTGGTGTGCTTTTCACGGGAAGTTAGGGGTTGGATTTGTCACCCTCCTCCTCTGTTTCATTTGGAGTCTTCTTCTGTGTGCCCTCACATGGAGTGACAGATGACTTGCAGCCAGGTGGCACCATGAATTCAAGGCAGAGGAAAGCAGGAATCTTTCAGGATGCTTTAATCAATGGTAATTGCTACTTGATTATGGATTTATCCATTCGTTCTCCAAAGGACTGCTTCACAGCACTGCATCTCCAGCAGGGTAAAGGAGGAGCTCTCCTGAAACCGTGCAAATCGTTCCCATAGCCAGAGCCTTCTGTGTAGGTGTCCTCAGAGATGTCAGATGCTCAACGGCTCCCGTGCCATAGCTGGGAGAGCCTGGGGGAATTGGAGCCCTGCTTAACCAGCAACCTTGTGATGGGCATCATCGACAGGTGCCTCCCATGTCCAAGCCTGCTGACCTCAGGACTTAGCAATCCAGACTATAGGTACAAGTCCGAAGGAGATGCGCTGAGATTTACACAGTAAAGGTAGCTTGGGTTAGTTGGTTTTAATGGGAGGAGGGACAGAATGAGTCTTCCCCAAGAAGGGAGCAGGAGGCATACAGAGGGGGTGCGAGGAGGTGAGGAAGAGCTGGGAAGGAGTAAGGCTTACGTGGCCGTGTTCGCTATATGCATTTCTGATGGCCATGAGGAGGCCACACACAAAAAGAAGGGTGGTGTGGCAGAGACTGCCGTGCACGGAGGAAGTGTTTTCGAGTCATCTTATGAATAAGCCATAAGTTATGATGATCCCAAGAGATATCTTGCAGGAAAGTGTATAATAGTTACAAGAAAAACCCTCCAGATTTACAAGCAGAATAAAGTCCAAATTTATACATTTGGTGGGAAAAAAAACCCAGTCATGGAATCATGGAAAGGAGGGCAAGGAGAGACTTAAGAGGTCAACCAGACCATACTGCTGCCTGAAGTCAGGATCATCTCTACTTAAGCCATTCTTGATGGATGTGTGCCTAATCTGTTCTTAAACCTTCAGTGGTGGAGATTACACATCTCCCCAGGCAATCTCTTCCTGTGCTTAATTATCCTTGGTGTTAGGAATGCTTTCCTCTCGCTCAGCTAACATTTCCCCTGTTACAATTTAAGCCTGTTGCATCTTTTCCTGTCTGCAGGAGGTGCAGAGGATCACTCATGGCTTCTTTCTTTGCTGCGTCGCATTTGGAGGCTGTGGCTCCTCTCGATCTTCTCTCCCAGCTAAATAAAGGGAGTCCTTCAGCCCTCCTCCCGGAGACCTTTGCTGCACTTTTCATCTCTTCTCTTCTGATGGTCTGTCTCTTTTTTGAAGCAAAATGCCCCGAACTCCATGTAGGATTGCAGCAGAGACCTCTTCACTTGGGATCAGTGGACCCCTTGATTTTTTGGGGGGTGTTTGAGCTCTTTTCATCCTTCTCCAGGCTTGGAAAGCAGCGTTTCTGCTAAAGCAGGCGGGCCGGGCGGCAGAGGTTACCGATAACGGCTCCGGCTGTCATTCAGTGCCTGCACGACACGGAGCCGTTCGTGGGCGTCCGCGGGATTTGGAATAATTGTCTTCTCTAATTAACTGGTTATCAAACAAGAACATTTCATTACGGTACAATTACTAGCTGCTTTGCTGAGACACAGAGGTGTCAGGATTGCGATCCCAACATATGCTTCTTACAGCTCTGATTTTTTGTTTTCATAATCACTAACCATTTTTGCCCCCCCTCCAACCCACCCACTCGCTTAATGACTAATGAATCCTCCCGCTAACGAATAAGGAAAATAAATCAGCAGGCATGGCAGGTTAGAAAGGAAAACATGCAAAATGTTTTGAGGATCCTTAAATCTGATAAATTACTTTGAAATTAAAATCCCTGGGAGAAAATGTGATTTAATTAGAACGTAACATGGTTTTGTCAATGTTTAATTTAAAATTTTAAAGGTTATAAATACTGCACTGGAGCTGCCGGTACACAGAGGATTCGTGAGAAGTATCGTTCGGGTCCGCTCTACCCACGTCAGCGTGGCGTTTCCCCAGGCAGTGGTTTCGCCGCTCAGCGTCCTCAGCGGAGCGCTGCGTGGGTGCAGAAAGCCCCCCGCGTGCGGGACAGGACTGAAGAGGTCCCAGCAGGAGACCCTGAAGGATGGGTTTGGGTTTTTTTACAGTAGTGGGTTCGACACTGGAAGAGGTTGCCCGGAGAAGCTGCGGATGCCCCGTTGTTGGAAGAGTTCAAGGTCAGGTTGGATGGGGCTTTGAGCATCCTGCTCTGGTGGAAGGTGTCCCTGCCCGCGGCAGGGGGGTTGGACCAGATGGTCGTTGAAGGTCCCTTCCCACCCAAACCCCTCCATGATTCTATGGTCACAGACCACACAACCTGCTAGGAACCTTCCGGAGCCGGAGAGAGCTCCGGGGAAGAGCGCCTGCGCTCGCCCTCTTACCCTCGCCGGTGGCCAGGGCTGGAGCGGGGCTGGCCCGCGCGGCTCAGGGGCTCCTCCTCGGAGCGACCCCCTCTCCCTTCGGAAGGACGCGCTGCTCAGCTGCCCCTGCCCGGTCTTGCTGCATCAGACGCGCCTTCCAAGCGCGCGTGAGGCTCAGCGCCGGGGAAAAAAGACAAGGCCAGATGAAGGGGCGGGGGGGGAAAGGGTGCAGCAGAAAAAGCAAGTGACGGAGATGAAGATAAGCACCGAATTCATAAGTTATTTGTTTCTTTGCATTTAGGTTAAGGAAGTGTCATTTGCCTGCCTTCTCACTGTCCATAAATTGCAGATTTTTCTCCAGACAAGTCTTCCTAATAATTGAATTCCTCTCCGCATAGCTGTGCATACTTCGATTTCCCACTGCCCCAGATTAAAAAAAAAAAAAAAAAGGCAAAAAACGTTCTTGGTATTTTGCCGCTACAGAGGAAAAATATCAATACGTTTTCAATACATCAGCACCCAGCTATGGCCACTGTTACACCAGCCTGAGACACGGGAATTCATATTTCATTGCTGTGCAGGCGTCAGGTACCGCGTTCAAGAGCATCCGTTAGCAGCAGCGTTTCTGCTTCACCGTGCGTGCTGGGGCGGTAGCAGGGGTGTCGCTGCGCGGGGCCGCGGACGTGCGTGGGGCGAGGACTGCAGAGCAAGGTAATAGCTTTTATTAGGGGAAGCGATACAGTCGGAAGAAATAGTTGCTTTTCACAGGCAAACTCTTCTTCAGGCTGACATTTTGAAATGTAATTTTGTTCCGAATGGAGCAAATATAATACTTCTCGAATACCGTAAAGCCAAAGACAAACTTGGGAAAACGCTCCGTTTCAGAAAATTACTGGCTGAGACCTCCGGTGTGTCAAGTCAGAACGTTTCATTACGGGAATCTCTCTGGTTTAGCGATGAAAATAGGGTTTTCAAACCTTTTTTGAGAGAATTTATCTGTACTGATTTTAAACTGAAATTCAGATAACTGGGTAGTTTAACTGCTGGAAGGTTATTTTCCCTTCGGGGGCCAGTGTTAGAAGGGAGTCGGGTGCTGCCGTGGCTGTGGAAGTTTGCAGGGGAAAGGAGATAAACATTACCACAAGGCTTCAGCATCTTGGTTGTTGAAAGCTGTCGTCGTTTTTAAAGCAGAATTAAACATATGTAGATCTGTTCTAATTGAAATCAACTTTTGGTGCACTGCTTGAGCGGGGCTTTGAGTTTCCAGTGGAGGAGAGGACTAACGGGTATTTTTCTCTGGAGTTAGTTTCTGCCTTTTTGCTGAAATTTTCATTCCATTTTAAAATATTCTTCTTGCTTGCTTGGTTCAATCTCTTTTACCCCATGGGGACTTACGCGGCTTGAGACAGGCTGGATTACGCTGTTATTTTTACGTACATGGAGGACCAAACCCTGGGCAGAAAAGGGACCGGCACTGTGAAATGATCATGAAACATGGCTCGTTGCAGGGGAGAGAAGGAAGAATAAGCAATAATTCACTCTTACAAAGTTGTATTATTTTTTTTCTTGGGGTAGCAAAGTCTCCTGATACTTGCTGTTTCCCTGCAAGCCCCAGCTCCCCAAATCATAAGATTAGGCAAAAATCTCAGCTTTTACATGATGAGGGAGCACTTCCCAGCTGTCAGGACTGCAGAAAGGAGCTGGAGTTTTGAGCTCTAAAGGCTTAGTAACGGGAAAGCCAAGAAAACGAATGAGTACTTTAGGATTTCTGAATGTCTCACCATTTTTTAAGCCAGTCCTGTCATTTGGGGATTTTGGCTCTTGCCTTGCTCTTCCAAGGGCCTGGATCACACTTTCCCCCGGTTCCTGTTGGGAAGCGGTTTCTCCAAGTTCACCCTGTAGAATGAGGTATGTCTCTTACAGCAGATGCACATAAATACCTGCCCAGACACGCGGACCGCTCCGGCCTGGGACGCCTCCAAAAATCCCGGTGTGGCCCAATCCAGGGGCTTTATTTGCTCGATTTGGAGTAAATCCCT